GAGAGCGATTACGCGAGATATAGGCGGTGCGGTTAGTTTCGTGACTTGCAAGCTTGTGAGAACCTCATTTTACACTAGCGTGCACATGCTAGGCATAAAAGGTAGTATAGTAAATAGGAAACCCGGGAATGGATTCGACAGATTTATTGAACTACAGTGATTCAGAATTTTCAAGATTCTCTGCGATATATCGATATATCGAAATTGATATCAATATTTTGTTAAAATATTGTTAGTAATTGTTAAGCCACTGTACCTTAGAGCCAAATACTTTAAGATTTATCGCAACATTATATAATTTAATTCATTTTTAAATGAAATAAAATAATATCCTCCAAATTTAATTTCGTCACGGCAGTCTCAACTGAGATTAGCCATCTGCGCAGGACAGTATTATAGTGCACAAGTGTCTTTGTAATGTGTGCACGAGAGAGATCGCTAACCCGATTGCACTCTCTATTCTTCTCTCTCTTCTCACAGTCCGACGAGACGGCAATCCGACACTTCCAGAAAAACTGACTCAAGACTAACGGCTTTACGTCCTTGACGGGAGTGAAACACCGTCAACTTCCTGACTCCGCGCTGCTGCTAAAATTTTCTTGACTTGAAAAACCCAATAACTGATTTTGGTCCGACCCGGGACCTCTTATGAACACTAAATAAAAAAGGCAGCTAATCTATACAAATAAATAAAATTGAAGTGTCAAAATTACAGTTTTTTTACTAAATGTATATGAATGTACATACTGTACTTATAACTAAAATACAATTTTTAAAATTTTTGTCTGTCTATCTGTTTGTTCCGGCTAATCTCCGAAACGACTGGACCGATTTTGACGGGATTTTCACTGGCAGATAGCTGATTTCATAAGGACTAACTTAGGCTACTTTTATTCTAGAAAAAGAATTAGGGTTCCGCGCAAAAACATAAAAACACGAACACACGAGCGAAGTTGCGGGGAACAGCTAGTATACAATAAAGACCATAAGTATTAAAGTAAACAGCTTGAGCAGTGGCGGATTAAAGGAGCTATAGCCCCGGGCCCCACCTTGGGAGGGGGTCCCGCGGTCTCGAATCAAAAATACATTTTTTAAACCTGTTTCAAAGAATTTTGAATAAAAGTAAAATGTTTTCCAAAGAAAATAAGTTAACCAAAATTACCTACGATTTTTAATTTGCCATCGGTTAACTATTTGTGGGCCACCGACGGATGTAAATCTGTGATGAAATAACGAAATAAGTGGTATTATTAGCGAATGGGTTGGGAAAAACTACGGCTAACGCTGCAGCAGTTGGTCACGGTGGCGAACGGTTGGGGGAAATTTCTACCACAGAATGTTAATGTTTATCGCGCAATAATTTGAGTCATTCATTCATGCCAAAGGTTGTGATTTTCTTTTTCACTTATATAATTTAAATAAATTTATATGAAAGATTATTTAAAAACAATTCTAAAGAAAACAAAAAGAGAAAAATTAAATCTGTTAAAAATATCGTATCAATGTTGTAAAGAGTAGGAGGACCTCACCAGATCGCCAGTAAACAAGGCAGGGACAAAAAAGGGCTAGATAGTGTAATGACAGAGATATCTCTGTGTGCCTAGTGCGAGATGTTGTTTTTACGCACTCGATACCGAGAAAGTTAACTACAATTTGTATGGAATAAAATCAGCGCCAACTAGTGGCAAAAAAGTGCTCACAAAGGCAGTGGTACAGTCTCTTATTTATCTAAAACTATATACGAAGAATTTATAGAGTTAATGGCTGCAAAAGTATTAAAACGTATTATTGATGAAATACACAGTGCAAAATATTGGGGACTCGTCGTAGATTCTACCCCAGATATATCCCACATCGATCAGTTGTCAGTCATTTTCCGATACTACTTAGATGGTCACGTTTATGAACGTTTTTTCTGCTTTTTACAAATAAAAAATCATAAAGGTAGGTCGCTTAGTAATGACGTATTAGATTTACCACAGGAGCACGGTATCGACATTAAAAATTGCAGAGCTCAGACCTATGACAACGCTTCAAATATGTCCGGTAAATATATTGGACTTCAAGCTTGTATTAGAGAAAAAAATGAATTAGCGTTTAACGTCCCTTGCGCTGGCCATTTTCTAAACTTAGTGGGAGAATGTAGTGTCGACGTATGTCTTGATGCTACAAATTTCTTCGGAATTTTACAGCGGCTATATGCATTTTTTAGTGCATCAACACATCGGTGGGACATCTTAATCATTGAGAATTCTAAAATAACGAGCTTATCGAAAACGAGATGGTCATGTCGCGGATACGCCACAAAAGTTGTAGTAAAGAGTCATGGAGGTATTTGTAGGGCTCTAGAAATGTTTGCGAATGACGAAGAACAAAAACGCGAAACTCGGAAAGAAGCTGAAGCTTTATTAAAACATATAAAAAAACTTGAAAATGTTTTTATGGCGATTCTATGGAATAATGTTTTAAGCCGCTTTAACGCGGTCATCTCCGCGTCGTCATGTCATCCGTGGCAACATAAAGTAGCCGCTTTTGATTGTTACATTAACCGTTTGTTCACTGTTCCATTAAGTAAAGAAAATTATTTAAAAGAACTTAATATAATTTATCAAATAGCGGTCTCTAACGGTTTTTCAAAAAATCTCCTTAACAATTTAGTTAAAAAGAAACAAAAGCATGTTATTCGCAACTCTCTGTTCGAACGCGGTTCAACCTCAAAGTGTTCATCGATATGTGAGCAGTTTGACCTACTTAGGCCCCATATCTGAAAAAGTAGCTAATACTCTTCGACAAAACGGCGTTCATGTGGCGTTCAAAACAAACAATTCTCTTAGAAATATCTGTAATAGTAAAGATAAGTTGGATATTCGTCAAAAGTCAGGTGTTTACAAACTTGTTTGTGACGAATGCCACGCCGTTTACGTTGGTCAGACTGGTCGCAATTTCGAGACACGTTATAAAGAGCATTTAGCCGCGTACAGGAATTGCAATCCCGATAAATCCCATTTTGCCAAACATCTTTTGGACACTGGACACAACCTAGCCAACGACCATTCCTTTAAAGTCTTACATACGTGTAATAAAGGGCTGCGGCTGTGTGTGCTGGAACAGTTAGAGATATTAAAAAGTAATAATAATACCGTTGCATTGCTGAATGAACAAACAAATGTTACTAACTCACCTCCCTTAAATATCTTCAAGCCTGCTTTCTAATAATAGAGAGCCTCGCAATATGGTCGTTTGTCACCCTCACGGTGACCGGCGATTGGTTGCGCGGTTGGAGGATGGGCGTTGCGCGGCGGTTTGTTTTTAATTTTACAAACGGCTGCGTAAGTCCAGCGGTGATTGGTCGCATGTTTTATCGCATGACGCAGTCGCTCGCTCCTTAGGTAGAGAGCGGTTGCATCATCGGTTTGTATAAAAGGCACTTGTTTTGGCTCGCCGCTCACTTAGCGGTTAGCCACCGTAGAGTCTATATCACCTGAGGATGCCTCGTGTAGAGGCGAAACACGTGTCGTATTATCGTCAGTGGTGTGTCTTGCCTAGTGTAGTGGTGTTGGGAGTAGCGGTGCTGGGATTAGTGGTAACGGGGATAGTGCACGCAATTGAGGGAGGGCGGGAGGTGCTCTTCATACTAAGTAAGACACATCATTTTATTTTATAACGCGGATATTTGCGAAGTAAATTTTTGTAAAAGCTTTCGCTTTAACGCGGCTAGTCAGTACCTTCAAAAAGTTGATACAGATTTAATTTCTGCAAATAACATGCTACTTTCATTAATGGATTTTGTGGCAGATTTGCGAGATACATTTTCTGACATTGAAAATCAAGCCAAACAACTAAGTAATTTTGTGGATCAAGAATATTTTGATGCAAACAAACGAAAGGTCACAAGAATGCTAACCGACAAAGAATCACAAGCTAGTAGTAGCTTAAGCCCGGCTGATAAATTTCGAGTAAACACATTTTATGTGATTATAGACAAATTAGTTGCAGAGTTGCAAAAACGGAGTGAAGCAAATGATCGCATCATTCAACTATTTGGCTTTCTCACACAATTATTATTTATAGAGACAGATGTCGTAGAAAAAAAAGTAGCAAATCTCGTAAAGGTTTACTCTGACGATTTAGAAAAAGATTTATCAGTTGAATTGAAACCATGTTTAAAACGGCAGCCTAAGGGTTTTTTTCCAATCGTACAGAAAAAAACACAAGTGCAAATGATGAAATCTTGTGTCCCTTAAAAGTTTTAAATTGGCTTGTAGATTTAGACAAGAAAAACTTGTATCATACAAGTTTTTCCGTATACCTATATTGCTTACAGGATACTACTTACACTTCCAATCGCAAATTGCAAATCAGAAAGATCATTTTTAGTTTTGAAAAGAATAAAAAACATGTATCGATCAACGATGTCAGACGACAGACTATCATCTTTAACAAGATTAAGCATCGAAAGAAATTTTTCTAATCGAATTTTAAAATAATTGTTTGTACTTCATTGTATCTATAAATAATAGTTTATAATAAATAATTTATAATAAATTAATAAATTATTTTTTTATAATTGATAAATAGCCTTTTTCGCTGTCCTTAAGTGGGCCCCTTCTCAATTTTAGCCCCGGGCCCCATAAAGTTCAAATCCGCCCCTGAGCTTGAGCAAGTATTATATGTCACTACTTGCGCCAGCAAATACATATATGGGTTGAATAAAACTAAAATTATACTTTACTTATATTGGTGATATCTTATTCTACAATATTATTTGCAAGGTATATATCTTGTAAGACCCATAATTCTATAGGACAATTAGATTCATATGTTTACATTTTTTTACACATTGCCAGCACATGTTTAAAAAATTCCCCGCACTTAAGAGCGTTTTTTGATGAAAACGTATTACGTAACGTGAACACAACAATAGTCATCTAAAAGCGCTCTAGAGTGTAAAACAAATATTTAAATGAGATAGGAAAAACGACAGTCAACGTTAAATATTTCTAATATCCCGAGATGATCATGCCTTTCTCCACTTGGTCAGACTTCTCCTTTCCCGTCAAAAGTTCAATTAATTTTAATCCAAACCAGTATGCAGTGCCCGGACCCTGAAAGAAATAATAATTTATTTATTCTAACACCTCATAAAAGGGATATTTGCCATAATTGCCACGCTCGGCAGGCAGGTTGGCACAGAAAGTTAATTATTTTGAGTTATAATCAGGTAGATGATGCTGCTTATTTCCTGTTTTATTTCCCTCCGTCGCCTCTTACATCACCCACGGAATACGAGATAGTGGATTCGTTTACGTCGCCACTACACGGCGACTCTTGTATAGAAACTCCAAATTGAGTTTTACGACTTCACCAAGCTCTATGTGAGAAGAGGACCACTGATAATCAGCGAAAAATAGTCGCATAATGTACTTTACTAGAAAAAAGTATACACATAAGTGTATACTTTTTTCTGGTGAAGGGGCATTGCATCTTGGCGGTTAATTCGCATTTGCATTTTTGATTCTTAATTGTAGATTTTTATAGAATAAGGGTGACAAGTGACAAATAAGCACACAGTCCACCTGGTAATAAAAATTCTATCCTCGATTAAGGATCAAAATGCAGATGCGTTGTTACCCCTGATAAGATAACTGACATGGAATGTGTTGTTCCCAGTAAAATGGTCTCTGGTTAGTAACACCTTTAATCCATTGAGCTATTATGTACTACGTACTAGAGGCGACAATGCATTAAGTTACGCTGTTCCATTAAACTGCGACGATGTCGCCGCACTTTACTCAGTCGCTCGCTAGGCGCTAGTGAGTTGACACATGCTATTTTGATTATATAAAAAAATTCTTGATAAAATACGCCATGGTGTGTTTTAGATATTGCACAAATAATTCAAGAAATGTTAGCAAATACCAAGGAATAACTTTTCATCGGTGAGTAAAATACTTAATAAAAAAGTGTTATAGATTAATAATCAACCAAATTATTCATAAGACGCCATCTCGGGTCATGAAATATAGATTATGAAATTTATTTGTTCAGATGTGACTTTACTGTAGGTACTTAAGTGTGAGAATAATTGTGCAAAATAGAATATTTTTTTAGAAACAAATGGAAGTATTCATAATTAGGCTAAGTTTCTGATATTTACATTTTCTGATTATTCTTTTATTTTAGTTTTAGGTTTCCACGTCCAAGCCATGAAAAGAGGGAAAAATAGAATTAATTCATCCATTTTTTAACTCTCGCATGCCCAGCATTAATGAACGACTCTTAGAAACTAAATAAATATATTTGTAAATTAGATATTATATTAATAAGTTTTGTTACACATATATTTAATACTAGCTGTTCCCCGCGACTTCGTTCGCGTGTTAGGGTTTTTATGTTTCTGCGCGGAACCCTGATTCTTTTTCTAAAATAAAAGTAGCCAAGTTACTCCTTATGAAATCAGCTATCTGCCAGTGAAAGTCCCGTCAAAATCGGTCCAGCCGTTTCGGAGATTACCCGGAACAAACAGACAGACAGACAAAAATTTTAAAAATTGTATTTTAGTTATAGGTATCGTATTTACTTTCATATGCATTTAGTAAAAAACTGTAATTTTGACATTACAAACAGACACTTCAATTTTATTTATTTGTATAGATGTTTTTATATTTAACATAGTTACCTTTTAAAATATTCAAATAAAAATTCAATATTACGTTAAATTAGCATATACTATATGCAAAACAAATGACAAATTTTAAAAATTGTACTCGATATAATATAATTTTTATAATTTACAATACAATCTATTATTACATACTGATCATTCTGCCTACGTATAATCTATGATAAAAACCAACCGGGCATGCGCCACACTACTCTTCCCTGCGCATGCGCGAAGACATGAGTGTAGTGCACATTTTTGTTTGAAATAGCTGTTCTATTACGTAAGTACATATTACTTCAATGCTTTAATCATATAATTATTCAATGCCTTCCCTTCCCAGCTGAGCTGAGCAATTTGTACTATAACTATAATATAGCTGCAGCCATAGCTCGACTACATTTAAAATGAGTAGTTATTTAATACGATATTTAATTTAATTTACGACAAAATGTACACCGGTTTGCAAAATCGACGTATTTTATTTGTTTTTCTAAAGCCGTATTTTAAGTTTATTTATACTTTTTTAACTCTGACAAAAATAGGAGGGTGTTATATGTTTATAGTGTGTATGTGTGTGTTTGTGTATCTGTTTGCGGCATATTTATAAAAAACTTACGCGACTTGTAACAATGTTGCCATCTACAACTACCCTCTCGCCTTCCACATATTGGTAGTCCGCCGTTATCTTGTCTTTAGTAGTGGGGTACGAGGTTAAGCGCTTTCCTTTTGCGACGCCGTGAGCTACAAACGCTGTTGGAGCTGTGGAGATGTGAGAAAAATGTATGTTATATAGACCACACGATATACGTTTGGCTTACAAGACATATTGTTAGGTTGTAGGAATCATTTTCTGCTTTTAGGTTATAGTATTACTGTTCTATCTAGAGGTCTGTCTGGGTAGGTAACTTGTAAGTAAGCTTGTGTGTAAGCTTTTAATTCATTTATGGGGCAATGTATGCGCTTTTACAATAAAATCCCAGAACATGTTCAAAGTTTGTCAATAAACAGTTTAAAAGTTTTATTAAAGAAAAACTGTACAAAAAGGGTTATTATAATATCACGGAATACATGAATGAAAATAACCCCTGGAAATAAGGTAATCGCCACCATGTTGGTTCTATGAAAATTCATTTAAAAATTGTATAATCAAAATTATTATTAAGTGAAATATGTTTAAAAAAGAAAGTCCCGCTGGGTTTCTTGCTGGTTCTTCCCAGGACAGAGGTATTTTCCGAACCAGTGGTAAATAAAAAATGACTTTCAATAAGTATTATGTAATAATCAATATTGAATAAAACATCATTCTATTCCATTCTAATCAGACTCTTACCTATTTCTATAGTCAAATAGAAGTACTTGCACTACTGGCGTTCTGGTTCCGGGTTCAAGGGTATATAGTGTCATTATAATTACAGGTTGTGACGCAATCCATCTTAGTCCTCAGAGGTAAGCCACGCATATATAAACTTGTTTGAAATTGGTTGCAGGTGTCCATGGGCTGCCGTAACTACTTACTGTTACTTTGTTACTGGACTGTTAGTTTGTTTTTCACCTCAATTTATAAATTTAAAAAATTAAAAATGAATTTGTGATAAATTGTTGATATTATAAAAACCGCATATTATTTGAACTTGATTATTTTATCAAAACCAGCCGGGCTAGCATGGGCAAGAGACAATTTTATCCCCAGGGAAAGGAGAAAATGTTTATCCGCTCGCGTTTTATCCACCCTTGGAGCATGAGCACACCGGTGGATATAATATCCACAATAGATAAAATGGGAGATAGACTTAGACCTAGATAGATTTTGTATGAATTTTATATTAAAACCACGTCTAATGAACTAGGATAAAATTGTCCCTTGCATATATCAAAAAAACATAATTTTTTAACTTTCATTTGGTTCCGTGATACGGACGGGGGATATATGTCTACTCGTTATGTCAAACGGGGATATACTTCTCCCCGGTTCCGTGCTTTGCCATAAGGAAAAGATAATTTTATCCCTCTGGAGCAATGATATAATCATCAAATTAGATATATCATTCAAAAATATGTTTATATCGAAATATTGATTGAACCAACAATGTGTTAAAAGACTATGAAGCTGAACAAGATATGAGTAACTATAATGTTGGCAATAAATTTTATATTTACCAGCACAAATTGCTGCCACAATCCTGCCATTTTTCTCATGTTCTTTCAGTAAAGTGCCGACTACACTTGACTTAGAAAGACGGTCAGACCCTTCTAACCCACCTGGGAGGATCACCTGCAAAAATTTATTAAGTCAGAACAAAAAGAATTATCACTACAAAAAGCATTCATCTTTAGTTGTTGCTTATTCACCTACCCTCAAAAATTCGGGCAATTTTCTCTTTTTATTACATAGACTATAAGAGTTTTCACATTTTAATGTAAAAAATATATTCCCTCTGTAATGGTGGAAAAACAGGAAATAAAGTTTTTAGGTTTTTCTTTTTTAGGAGACGGGGTAAACGAGCATCCGGCTCACCTGATGGTAAGTGACAACCGCCCATTAACAACTGCAACACCAGGGGACTGTAAAGGTAGGTACTACCTTAAATTTGTGATATTCTTTAGTCCAATCGAAATGGTCAAAAATTAAAATCCTAAGAAAAAGTAAAAGTCAATGTCTAGAATGAAATAATTCAAATTTCCACAGTGACACCAGAATCTAAAGTTGCGGCTATTATTCTTCTACACACAATGTGAGAGTAAGGGCATAGAGTGCACCTGTACTTGTCCATAATCTTGGCCACTATAATCTTATCTTGCGCAGATGGCCTAGTCTCTATTGAGACTGGTCGCAGTGACCAATATTCAGTCTACAGGACATTGTTATTACTACATGACGTGTTAGCAATGAATTCAGAAGCTATTACATATTTATATCTTTTTTAGTTATTACAAGTCGGCTTTTATTATTTTTTTTTATTTGTTACGCTAAAGAAATAAATATAGTTAATTTTATTTTATTAAATTCTTTTAAAACCTATTTGTTCATGACCTATTGCAATCTTCGTAGTTCAGGGGTATAAGTGCTCAGTTATTTTCATAGTCAGTAATTTTTGGACACAAAAGAAAAATGTACTTCTTAGAAAAAATATTTAAAAAAAATAAAATGACATTATATACCTAGTTAAAATTAGATTGAGTACAATACAAAATTCCCAGATCCGTTCTTGTTTCTCATTTAAGAATGACAATTATCCTGAATTAGGAATTGAAATGCAAATGCGTTGTCAGGACAAAGATGAATATCTTGTTACTAATAAATGTATCCAGTTCTTGTCAGCCTTAATACAAAATTGGAGTATTTTTTCAATAGATGAATTGACCCACACATGCTGCAGCTGTAGGATATACTGGATGTGGCTTTATCACTAACAGACATTAGTGATTTTTTTTATAAAATGTGACAAATGAGCACACAGTCCACCTTATGGTAAGTGAATAATGTGGTCCATAACATCTACTTTAATACTCGATTAAGAATTCAAATGCAGATGCATTGTCACAATGGAGGACTAAGATGGAATGCCTCGTTTTCAGTAAAATGGGTATTAAATCTAAGTGTTATTAAATGTTAAAATTAGTCCAAGAATACAGAAAAGTCTATAATATTTTATAAATACTCTGTCCGGTCCGAAAATCGAACATAGGTATGCTACAATAACATTACCGAAAAATAAACATGTTATTAATGAATATTTTTTATAGATATTTAAAAACGTTTACTAATACAATTTGCTTAAAATTTAGCAAATTTTTAAATTGTGGCAGGACCGTCGTCAGCGACGGTATTTTGAACGGGACCAGTGTTAAATATTCAACAACAGTAGCAACTAAATGTTTCGTCTTAGCATGATCAGTAGTACCGCTGAGCTGTCTTCGAAACCTTGTACTTTCGAATTTCTCTAATTATTATTTTTTTTCGAATAAGGATGAACATAACCATTTCTTAATACCTAAAAGCACTCTCAAGGATCGGACAGGGTATCTATTATATTTATTGTATACGTACTGCATCATATTGAGGTTTCTCTGCCAATGCATCAGTCAGAGACATATCTGGTACAAGGGTAACCTGGCGGGAGCACAATACCGGAGAGCTGCCATCGAGACCGGCTAATGTTACAGTTACCTGAAATATATCAATTATAACTTTTTGGTTTATGTTTATAGAGTAATCTAAAATGTGGTCAGGGCTGATGCTTTAAGGATGCTTCAAGACTACTACAGTTTTTTTTTAAAGATAGGTTGACAAGTGAACACACAGTACTGATGATAAGTGAATGATCACAGTCCATAGTCACCTAAAAAGGCATAAAAAAAAACTGGTTTTAAGATTAACTTACACCTCCTCTTCGCAGCATGTCCACAGTGATGACTGTCTCCATTTCCTCAGCTCCCTGAGCCAAGATTACAAGTGCCGTCTTAGACATTGTTGGGGTTGTAATATAAAATCTGAAAATAGTTAAAATGTGGGGTTGTCAACCACAGCATATAATAGCACATTAAATAAAACCCTCGAATGGGTCAGCTCAACCAAGGAAGGACACCATGCTCACACAGCATACCAATGCAAAATAGCAGCTGAATGCTGTTGTGTTTCGTATGGTGAGTGTAGAGAACTAGAGACCCTTTTTACTGGATGCGAGGTATTCCATCGTAGTCCTCAAGGGTGACAATGCATCTGATTTTGATTCTTATTTAAATAAAATCTGGATGTATAGACATCCAGATGGGCCACAGCATCCACTTACTATCAGGTGGACTCATAGCTAATTAGTCACCCATATTCTATAAAAAGAACTAATAATAAGACAGATGAAAAAATTAACAATGATTTTTTTGGTTTTGACCTCTATTTTACCTGCTGTTTAATATATATCTACTGTTATTATCAACATTGTATAAAGGTAAGGATATTTGTCAGAAAATATTAATTTAATATCAAAGTGGCCATAACTGTAAATTAATTTTATACTTATGTAGTCTTTAATTTTTATTTTAAATGTTCATATTTTACTTCAATTTTATATACAAAAATGAGACGAGGCATGGAATAAAGAAATAAACTTAACAATTCCCAATAAACACAATTCATTTGCATGTTGAAACAGATATGCTCTGAATGACCCCCTCTCTCACTCAACGTTGTACAATGTAATACAATAAAAAGTGTTACAGAAAAAGAATGTATGTAGAGTGAACTGGAAACATTATCAAATGCGATTTAAAGTCAAGATAGATAGTCAACACTGATGCTATAGCTGACTATATAAATATTTTACCACAGCTCATTCAAACTAATGGTAATAAGTAACAAAAGTGACGTTAAGCATTTTTGATCTCATTCAACCTTCAACCGCAGCCCTAGAAACAGTCTTTTGCTAAACTTTTTACTAATCATACATATATACATGCAAAAAGTTTAACTTAAAATATTGTAAATTAGATATATTTCACCTTGAATATGATAGTTACAAAGAAAATATTGTAAAACTTAATATATAATTGGTAGTTTCACTTTGAGTTGTATATATGTATAATGTTACTTTTAACTACTTACTACTTAATGTTTTTAATTTATGAATACCATTTAGCTAGTTTTATTCTTTTATATTTTAATTTTATACAACATAATATTGTGGTGGCAAGCTTTTATTATGTATTAGATATCTGTGGAAACTTCATTGGTTCTTAGGATTACTTTTATATGTTTTATTATGTAATTTATTATTGTACTGTATGTTTCCCTTAAAAAGCAAAAAAATAAAAAATAAAAAAAAAAAAAATAAATAATCCACAGGCTAATGGTCCAATCATTAGAATAGAATAGAATATTTTTTTATTCAATATCGATTACTACATAATTCTTATTGAAAGTAATTTTTTATCTACTACTGGTTCGGAAAATACCTCTGTCCTGGGAAGAACTAGCAAGAAACCCAGCGGAACTTTTTTTTTCAAACATAATTTCGTTTATACAATTTTTAAATGATTTTTCATAGAACCAGCATGGTGGCGATCACCTTATTCCCAGGGGTTATTTTCATTCATGTATTCCCTGATATTATAAAAACCCTTTTTGTACAGTTTTTCTTTAATAAAACCTTTAAACTTGTTTATTGACAAACTTTGAATATGTTCTGGGATTTTGTTGTAAAAGCGTATACATTGCCCCATAAATGAATTACTTATTCTTTGGAGTCTAGTAACTGGTATTACAAGCTTGTTTGTTCCTAGTGTTTAAAGTATGCACATCCTTATTCTTATATACATTACATTTTCATAAATATATTGCGATGCCAAAGTTAATATGTTTATTTCTTTAAATTTTTGTCTGACTCTTTACAATTTAAGTTATAAACCGCCTGAACGGCTCTCTTTTGCAAAACAAATATAGCTTCAATATCAGTCGCATTATCCCATTGCAAAATTCCATAAGACATTACGCTATGAAAGTAACTAAAATACACTAATCTAGCTGTCTCAACATCTGTGAGACTTCTAATCTTTCTTACAGCATATGCTGCATTGATTACGTAAAGATGTTTTTGGCGATTTTTGACCCCCCCACCCTCATGTAACCTCTTCTTACGTAAGATTATATCTCGTTTTTTCAGAATAATAAAAATTATTAATTAAGTAATTTGTGAATAATTTAATTATAATTTAATATCCATGTTCCGTACAGCTGCTGCTTAGTTATGTGCATGTTTTTTATTGTCTTGGTTATACATTATCTTTAAGTATCTTTTTTGTGACATATTTCTTTATAAGCTATTGTAGCTCTGCCCTGTCTTAATTTTTATAGTATTTTGTAATGCTGTGTCACCTATAAGTGTGCACACATCAGTCCCTAGATTAAGCTCACGTTCAATTAAATGTAATAATGTGTGCACTGCTGGTGTCCTATGAATAAATAAATAAATAAAAGCTCTATATTAAAAAACCTTCAGTAGGTTAGTAAAAAGTCTATGCCAGGTAATAGATACCATTGAAAAAAACAAGTGTTGTGTCAAGTTTTGCCAGTAGTACTGTGAGGTCTCCATTTAAAATGTAAGTAATAATGTGTTTATTATACTTTTGTACTAGTATTATATATGATGAAAATAATCCTCAAGATGCTTTCTCTTCCTATATCTACAAGTTTCATGAATTCAAAGTCTGTAATGATGTTTTTATATGTGATGAAGTCGACATGCGAAAACTTCACCGTTGTGTGTCAGTATTTCATTAGGTTTTTGTATTATATATTATTTATTTTAATAAAATATTATTAAAATGTAATTAAATTCTGCGTTTCATTAGCTTTCTGTGGGTGATTTTTATTCTGATAAAGGTAAAGAACCTTCTCCATGGTAAAGGTTTTAGTTGAACTGGTCACAATCAGACCGAAAAAAAAACCACAATAAGCAACACCAGGACAGACAATGCTATTGTTGCTGCGTCGCTCGGACGTCCAAATGGATAAGATCGCAAAATACTTTTGCAGTTTATTCTACCTTCATTTCTGATTTTATGATAGTATTTTACTATACTACTTGCAAAGGAAAATAATGACTTCATACATTTTTTTACTAATTTAAATCCTTTACTTTGTAAATAATAATAATGTGTTGACTTGAATGTTCAATTGTGCATAAAGCACTTGTTTTTAGATAGAAAATAATTTAAGTAATATCCTAAAACTAACCCCCTGCTACAGCTCCATGACTTTTCATGTATACATAGTAAGTAGTCTTTGACTATGATTATAATATTGTTTGTAACTTGTTTTGAAAACTATTTTTCAAGCATTTAAAATAAATTTGATAAGATTAAGGCTATTTTTATTTCTAATTGCAATTGCAGACCCTTTTGAATTTCAAAATAAACTAGCACAAGTAGCAAAACTAGCAAGCAATAAAGGTCAAAGGAAAAAAATGTAACAACCGAGAATAAATACATCAAATGGAAGGTAGAGTAAAGAGATTAATTCAATCAATTTCTAAGTAGAAGAGGCCTAGTCTAACCTATACCTGTTTTCGAAAGCGTTCAAAACTGGTCTCTTTAATTGCTAAGTTCAGATATATGGAAATAACTTCACAAAAAATGGTATTCAATTGATTGCGACGTAACATAGCCGGCACTAAGATGTTATTTTTCTAAAATATGAAATAGTAACGAAAACTTCAATGTAAGTAGTGAATAATATTTACCTTTTATAAAATAACCGTGAGTTATAAATTTGAACTCTAAAGGAAGGACGTGCTAATTTTATTAAATTTGATGACGACCTTTTGACCACGAACATCAATCAAAAATTAAAAGTTAAAATCACAAGCTACAATATAAAGTTTATGAAGTAACTGGAAGTATCATTACCATTCGTTACTTCGGAAGTAACGAATGGTAATGAAGGTAGGGTAGCGACATTCCGATTTCCGATACTAGTAAATACGAGTAGGTACTCGATACTTTTGATTCGAAACCAAGTACTAATAGCATCGAATCAATCTTGCGATAATTACTCGGTATCGAAACAAAAGTACTTGGTATCGACTCAGGTGAGCCGAACTCGTCCGAATTCACCCGAACCGAGACCGAGAGAGAGAGCCGCTATTATACTAAAATTGTCACTGGTTCAGTCAGCACTAGCAGTGTTCAGCATTCCACAAATGATTGTTTACGATTACGTTACGAGTAATTTAAATTATTGTAATCATCGGTTTATTGTTCCAATGTTATCATGGCACCACCAAAACCATTAATATGGACATAGGTATTTTACCCAAAGAAACGAAACGACTACAAAATGTAAACAATGTTTCAAGTCGGTGAAATATTGTGGCAATATGTCTAATTTACCCAAGCATTCCAAAACTCATAGAATTACTGTGGATAAAAACAAATTACAGTAAAAATCAGATAAAGGGGCAAAAGAAAGGTAGTATCTTCAACTTTTCACTAATTAATTTCGTTAAGTTAGGTACTTAGGTTAGGTTCATAATAGTTCGTTAGTTCATTGGTTGGACTTATGCGATGTTATCTAAAGTGGCAGGCCATAATAGATCATTGTGGGGCTCGAAACATTTGCTACGTTAATTTCATTAAAAAAAGTATCGATATCAGTAAGTATCGATACATTAGGAGTATTTGTATGAGTAGTATCGAAAAATGATTTGAGTACTACTGATATGAGTTGGTATCGATACTTTGATGGTATGGGAAATCCCTTAAGGAAGGTCAAAATGTTTTTGTACAGTAGACCACAGACAAACATAGATATGATTTTTTTTTAATAACTGGCATTACAGCTCTGGGTGCTAGCCCTCCAGAGCCTGAAGTTACAATGTATAATTAATTACCTTTAAAAATTAGAAATGACTCGAACGATACATTCATCAAAAATTCACTTTCACGCTGATTCACATAGTTTGTTTAAGTTTGCGCTATTGATAAGTATCACGTTGTTTGCATTTATATATATCTTGAACATCAGAAATAAAGGAATATAATGGTGGGAAGAATTTTTCATTAGCTAATAGTCTGAAGAGTATCAGGAACTTTATCATTGTTAATATCTTGAATTGAATTAATGAGGAGTAATCTAAAGAGGAGGAGTAAAAAATTCACCACATTGAAGAACCAGATGTTTAACGTCTCCTTTCGTGTCAACACAATATACAAAATTTGCATTTTCTTTCATTCCCAAACGATACAGGTGGGCGGCTACCCTACTATGCCCAAATCTCATTCGGTTTACAGCCGTAATGAATTTTCTATTATCAAACCTTTTTTTTTTTGTTGTACGAAGAAGTGGCTGGCGGGCTTTTTTGTATTTCGTAATACCAATTTCCTTTGGACTTGCTTATTTCTTCTCAGTATGACTTCCATAAGGATCTCAAGTTCTTACTTAAGAAGGCATACATGTTTGTAAATGGTATTTTCAGCATTGAGGAGTGATATAAACATGTTGATGAGGATACATCTCTAGTAGCATTGTCTGCTTCCTCATTCCCGGCTATCCCAGAGTGTGAAGGGACCCACATAAAGGTAAGTCTTTCTTATATTATATACAATTTAATTTTCCTTGTTATCCATTTTATTTGATTCAATAGCTAATAATACTTTTTGAATCAATTACAATTAGAGACTGTGAATTTGCAATATTTTGTATGTGCAATATAGATAAGTAGATTGCACAAGATTCAGCTGTAAAAATTGAGCATAAATTGTGAATTTTAAAAGTTTTAGATATTTTCTTTTGCGAATCATAAAATGCTGAAGTTGTGTACTCTTCAGATTTTGATCCATCTGTATAAATTGTATTAAAATCATTATCAGCTATCTTAACATTTCCATTTGAGAATTCACTTTTTCTTGACATATAAAAACATTAATGTTCACTAAACCATCATATTCTATTTTATATAAAAGCCATGGTTTACTTTACAGAATTGAACGGTTTGATCTGTCCATTAACTTTTTTTGTGAAACGACCACATATTTCGATGATAGTTTTTAAACAACTCTTCATTTTTTATGCTGATGGGAACATACCTGAGTAGGCCGATTGTTTCCACCGCCCTTGCTGGTATAAATGCCTTGTATGTATGCCAATTATACTTCTCTAAGAAGCTTTTATTTTTCAAAAAGTCGTTGGCGTTAAAAGCACGCGCAAATAAAACCCTTTGATTTCGTTTTTAAAAATTCCCGCCAAGATTAAGGGATTCGCATTGCCTAGTTTAACTCCTTTACGACTCTCAATAAAAACCGTGTATTCAGCCATTCCTATTGACTCAGAGAAAACTGTACCCCGTGTAATGGCGGTTAAGAATACCCACTACCGATGACAGAGGAAGACTGAGGCAGAAGATGGGCAGCAGCATCTTTCTGATAACAGCAAAACAACAATAAAAAACTGCAGCTACCAACCCGCTCGCCAAGCGTGGCAACTATATCATTATATCCCAATGATTAAAGTTACGAAGAAACGGCCCTCAGTCCCCGGTGGCCTCGCTATTCCTGGCTACGGTGGCGACCATGGTAATGGTGGGACAGGGGGTGCATAAATTCTTCGGTGGAAGTTCGGTTGCCACCTAAGACGACTCGACCTGGCAACATATAACGCACGCATCCTGAGGACTAAGGAGAAGATCCTGGAGCTGGAAGAAGAGATAGACAATTTGCGCTGGAATATTATAGGATTTCTACGTGGTAGAGCCATGCTGCAGCTATATTATGGTTGTAGCACGAATGGGTCGGCTCGAATGGGGAAGGACCACGCTGTCACAAAAAACCAGCGTAAAATAGCAGCTTAACGCTGTTATGTTTCGTATGGTGAGTGTAGAGAACCGGAGACCCTTTTTACTGGAAACGAGGCATTCCATCTTAGTCCTCAAGGGTGACAACGCATCTGCATCTTGAGTCTTTATTGAGGATAGATGTAGATGTCTATGGGCCACAGTAACCACTTACCATGAAGTGGACTGTGTGCTCGTTTGTCACCCGATCCTATTAAAAAAAAATAGGATTATCTGAGGTCCGAAGACAGGGGGACGACATGGTAATCCTCGAATCCGGCAACTTGTTCTATCACCGGGAGGGCGACCATCTGTCCCAAGGAGGTGTCGGATTTATCGTCCACAAGTCTCTCGTTAACAACGTTGTAAAGATTGAGAGTGTGTCGACGAGGTTTGCCTACCTTATACTCAGAACCACTAAACGGTATTCATTGAAGATCAAACAGGTATACCCACCAACCTCGGCACATACCGATGAAGAGGAGGAAGAAATGTATGAGGATATATCTAGAGCCGAGCATTCCTCCAAAACCCACTATACAGTGTTAATGTGAGACTTCAACGCAAAACTAGGTACAAGAGAGAATGGCAAGCTGAGGGTGGGGAAATTTGGAATAGCGCAACGGAACCCAAGGGGCCAGCAGCTGGCCGACTTCATCGAGAAAGAGGGACTCTTTATGATGAACTCTTTCTTCCAGAAGCGACCCCACAGGAAGTGGACCTGGTCGAGCTGCAACGGTTCGACAAAAAATGAGATGGACTTCATTATAAAGTCCAGACGATAACTGTTTAGTGATGTCTCAGTGAAAACTGGAACCAATCACTGAATCCCCCTCGTGCCCTAATCCAAAGTCTCGAAACCTTTCAGCTCTAGCTACAAAAATGTTTTCAGTGCCTTGAAGATGCAGTGCAATGCAGTGGACAATATGAATGACAAGATATGTGGAAACTATTCATGCGGTCGGTGCTAAGTTTTGCAAGACCCGCCCCGACGAAGAACACAAAAACTCTCCGATCACACTCTTAATCTCATGGCTGTTAGACGGTAAATGAAGCTGTCTTCGACAGATTTGACAGCATACAGGCAATTGAGCAGACAGATCTCCAAATGCATGTGGCGGGACTTATGCAACTTTAATACTGCACGTATTGAAGAAGCGATCTAGCAGAACCAGGGCTCCAAAGTCTTTGCTAGAGATCTGTCTGCCAGAAAGAACCAACTGTCCAAACTGAAGACCGAGTGTGGCAGCGTTGTTTCCTGGGACAATTGAGATTTTGAGTGAGATTGAGAGGTTCTATGGGCAGCTGTACACATCATCGTTGGGGCCACACGCAAGTGTGAATGACGATCGAAGAGCAAGTCTTATCCGACACTGTTCCGAAGATATTTCGGACGTCAGTTTGAGCGAGATTAGAATGACCCTCCAGTACCTTAAAAACGGCAAGGCCTCAGGCGAGGATAGAATTACAGCGGAGCTTATGAAAGCGGGTGGAAAACCGGTACTTGAAGTCCTACAGAAGCTCTTAAATTTCGTCCTCCATGGTAGCACTACACCAGAGGCGTGGAGCAGAAGTCCGGTCATCTTATTCTTCAAGAAAGCCTTCTGAGCCGCATCTACGTGCTGTTTTCGAGAGTCATTACGAATCGTCTCGCGCGCATACTTGACGACTTCCAGCCTCTCGAACAAGCCGGTTTCTGAAAAGGCTTTAGCACCATAGACCACATACATACCCTTCGGCAAATTGTACAGAAGTCCGAGGAGTACAATTTGCCATTATGTCCCGCGTATGTGGTCTATGAGAAAGCCTTTGATTCAGTCGAAATTTGGTTGGTGCTGCAGCCCCTTCAGCGGTGCCAACTTGACCGTCGGTATATCAAAGTACTGAAGTGTTTGTACAGTAGGGCTACGATGGCTATCCGAGTACAGAACCAGAGTACGAAACCTATCCAAATGCAAAGAGGTGTAAGACAGGGTGACGTTATATCTCCGAAACTCTTTACCGCTGCATTGGAAGACGTTTTCAAGCTTCTGGACTGGAAAGGATACGGTATTAACATCAATGGCGAGTACATCCATCACCTTGATTTGCCGACGATATAGTCCTTATGGCAGAATCGCTGGAGGACCTAAGCACTATATGCTCAATGACCTCGATAATGCCTCCCAACGGATAGATTTTAAGATGAACATGGACAAAACATAGATCATGTATAACGTCCATGTCACACCTATGCCGGTAGTTGTTGGGAGCTCAAAGTTGTTTACGAGTATGTTTACCTGGGACAAATAGTCCGACTAGGTAAGTCCAACTTCGACCGAGAGGTTAATCGACGGATTCAACTGGGCTGTGCAGCGTTCGAGAAATTACGGCGCATCTTCTCGTCAGGTATACATCAAAACTTGAAAACGTGTATGGTCTCTGTATGGTCTCTGTATGGCCGTCACTGATGGCCGTATGAGGACGCTTAAGGTCGCTCAGCGAGCTATGGTGAGTGCTTTTTGATAAACTTAGAAATGAGGATATCCGCAGTAGAACCAGAGTGACCGACATAGCCCAACAGATTAGTAAGCTGAAGTAGCAATGGGCCGGACATATAGCTCGAAGAACCGACAACCGATGGGAAAAAAAGGATCTCGAGTGGCGGTCTCGTACCTGCGGATGAAGTGTAGGGCGTCCCCCCACTAGACGGAGTGACAAACTGTTAAGACATGCAGGAAGTCGATAGATGCATATAGCTCAGGACCGTGCTTTGTGACATCACTTAAGGGAGGCCTATGTTCAGCTGTGGACTTGTGAAGGTCTGTAATGGTGAAATGATTATAGTTTGTGACAAAGAGTATAGTAGTCCGACAAAAGAGTAATTACTACAATAGAGGGAGTTTTAATATAAGACCAAAATCCTTATAGCTGAACTCTTCATACATATAAGGTTTAACATGGTACAAAATAAGATATATAAGAGCTATATTATTCTCACCTTCTTTCTTTTACAAAGTTTTTGCCGTTTTCCCATTCCATAGAAAGTATATACAATGAAACCTGGATAACTGGGACCTTAAGAGACCTGCAAATATGTCTCACTTAAAGAGGTGTTCCACTTACCCAGTGTCTCAAATATCCAGGTATAAATAAATATCTGTCTCATTTACAGAATGTTCCATGAATAGAGGTGAGAATAGAGGTTATTTCAGTTATAGAGGTGCGATTATTAAATAAAATAACGTATTTTGTAAACATTATACATGAGTTGTAATCTTTATTAACAATAAGAAAAGCTATTAAATAAAAATAACTAAGCACGTTTTTTATAAACAATACAAAAATGCATAGATTTTGACACATTAAATTCGACACAAACTTCATCGCGCGGCTTTCCACTTTCTTAAACGGATATTAACTTTGGTTTTTCACGTTTTGATAAGACTGCAGACTTCTCGATACGTCGGTGCTTCACGTCAGCTATATGTTCTTTAACGCGGGTTTTAATAGATCTTTTTGTTTGTCCTATGTACGAGAGACCACATTCACAATCCAGCTTGTACACTCCTGCATCTTGTAGAGGGATATGAACATATAGCTGACGTGAAGCACCGACGTATCGGGAAGTCTGCAGTTTGTGAACATGTTCAAGATCGTCCCCTCCATTACATTAGATTTGATAGACCACAAATCCTCGCAAAAGAACACCGATTCCTCCCAAGGATGATTCGCGAGGCTATTGAAATTAAAAAACATCCTAATTTCAATAGAGAAGATGGATGGGTGCTGCCATCTGCTTGGAATCCCATAATTAATAAAATCAAATCCAAACCCAAGTATACCACTGCTAGACTTCAAGATACTGTAAGCTCATTCTGCGTAAATCGAACCAAAAATTAATATTAAAAAACTGAAGGTAGCCGGGCTAACTATGACAGCTTAACGTCAAACACCTCAGTCCCCCGTGACCACGGGTGCTGGAAGGAAAGCACCCGAAATGTCGGGAATATAAAAATAAGTTAATATACGCGATAAAATCCGTAAAATTAGTTTTATTTAAAAATGTGTAGTGTTCGCGTAAATATTAGATATCAATCGATCTTTAACTATTTTTTATATCTAAACTACATGGCTGCACTTTAAATTGTTAATATTTTTGAGATGTGCTAATTGAAATTTGAGTATATATATATACACTCAAAATTCGTAGTATGGGGAAGGTGGGGTTTTCTTGCGTGTCGACTTGTGCCGACCTGTCATTCAAAATTGCCATAAGGAATTTTCTTCTCCCTTGCAGACTACGTCGGTCTATACATCAGTATTAAACGTAGTGGTTATATTCTCTTTGGCCAGTATATTTTAAGTCTATGCTACGCATCACTTGTCTAACACTTAAATCATCCGTTAAGCTGGTAACACTTATAACAGATGTTCGTTGACGGTTTCTCTACTTTGTCTATGAAAACAGCTTCCTTTCCATTGCAAACCTAACGTCAAGCGAACAAAAAAAACTGTCCTTTTTGTTTTATTAATTTTATGATTAAACTTGACCTTTTGGTTGTGAATCATGTAATTTTAGAGTCATTAGTCTAGCTTTAGTTTTTTTCCCCTACATTTTTAGTGCTACTTGTGTTAGTTTACGTTGTAAATATTGCAGTGAGGTTAGGAGCTGATAATTCTTCAACGGATTCAGATTTATTACGATTTTGAGTTTACTATAAAAAACCTTAACATGGATTTTGTTAAAAGAGAAGATCAGAATATCCTCGACGAAGAAAGTTATAAGGCTTATTTAGACAGCGTAAGTCTTAATTTATATTCATATTTTTATTGGCAATATAACCACACAAATGTATATACTCCAGAGCAAAAAGCGTAGTAAAATAAATAAAGAATGCCACATTTATAAGCGATAACTTCAAGTTGTAGAGTTTTCACACCAAATATATTATTTGATATTTTAAAAACAATGTAATACTATATTAATTATTAAGGGACAATACAGATTATAGGTTTCACTAAGATTTATATTTTTTTTTATTAAAAATGTGTTCACAACATTCATTATATTTTCTTTTGCTTTCTTTTGAAAACTAATTACTCTTAAATCTGAATCTTTGGCTCTGAATACTCTTCAGACTGAAATACAGCAGTGCTAGCACTGCTAGTTGGTGGCAGAAATAGTTAAGAGGATAGTACCTAACCAGATAAACTACTAGGCAGAGAGTCCAACCTCCTTGTAAACCTCACCTAAACTATCCAACAACCATTCGACAGGATGTGTTGATGTGATGATTAAATCTAATTTATTCTAATCTACATACATATCCCTGTTGGATGATATATGTTTAACTATACTATTTAAAAAATATTCTTAAAAAATTAATTTAATTTAAAAATTTCTTTAAGTATTTATGTCAATACTAACTAAAGGTTACACATAATATAAAAAAAACTGCAATAAAGAAAAACTGAAACTAAATATTTAAATTATCATATAGTCCTACTCCTTGTGATATTGTGGCAAGAACGCTGGCTGTGTTTTCTCGCTGAATGGCTATACCCAGCCTTTGAGTGAGAAAAGAACTAGCCCTCTTATCACCAGCAGCGACAACTAATTGTGGATAGAGTTCCTTTAGGCACTTCACTCCACGTGGACCCCATGGACTAATAGTCTCTACAGCAAATGGCATAAATATGTAGTTATCTTTGAGAGACTCATATTTGCGCCACTTACTTAGTTCAGCTGCCTCTCATGCCGCCCGGACTCTAAATGAGGTGTCCCTGAGATGAGAGGCTACCGAAGTGTTTATGCAAGTAGCATCCCGCACTAGGGCTTTACCTCTTCTAAGGGATCTGTCTGTCTGCCATTTTCTCTAAATATTCCACAAGGCTCTAAAACCGAGGGAACATTTATAGAGACAGGAGCTCTTCGGATGATTAATATTTCTATTTGAATTGTATATCAATGATTATTGTCAATAGATTGGAATTAGGCAGAGAATTCAGATAAAATACTTATTTACTAAGCATAAGGTATGAATTGTTTTAAATATTTGCTAAATAATTTTTTTACATTAATTTGTGTCACTATTAAATTTTATTGCATTATATTATTAAAAAGGTAGAATATATAACATAAAATCTAGCATCTCACTAACCAGTTTTTTATCTTCTATATCTATACAAATAAATAAAATTAGTGTCCATTTGTAATGGAAGTATATTATGGTATTTATAACAAAAACAAAATTTTAAAAATTTTGTTTGTTTGTCTGTCTGTCTATTAGTTCTGGCTAATCTCTGAAATGGCTGGACCGATTTTGACAGGACTTTTACTGGCAGATAGTGTTATAAGGAGTAACTTAGGCCACTTTTATTTTAGAAAAATAATTATGTTTCCATGTAAAATAATCAAAGCCCATGAAATTCTACGTGGTAGAGCCATGTTGCAGCTATATTAGTAGTATAGTTGTAGCTTGAATGGGTTGGCTCAACTGGGGAAGGAACACGCTCTCACAGAATACCAGCGTAAAATAGTAGCTTGCAGTGTTTCGTATGGTGAGTGTAGAGAAGAGGAGACCTTTTTTACTGGAAAAAAGGCATTCTATCTTAGTCCTCATGGGTGACAATGTATCTCTATTTTCTACCGACTTCCAAAAAGGAGAAGGTACTCAATTTGACTGTATTTTTTTTTTATGTGAGTTACCTCATAACTTTGTACTGGGTGAACCGATTTCGATGATTCTTTTTTTATATGAAAGCTGATAGTTCTCGTGTGGTCCCATATGAATTTGATCAAGGTCAGACCAATAGTTTTTGAGTTATTCTTAAATAACTTATATTGAAGTCGGCTGTACAAATTTTTTTATTTTAATTAGTTAAAAAATAATTGTAAAACAATATTCCAGCTGGCCGCTTAGGTTATGATTCTTTATTGAGGACAGATGTAGATGTCTATGGACCACAGCAACCACTTACCATCAGTTGGTCCGTGTGCTCGTTTGTCACCCTATCCTATAAAAAATCCAATTGTAATAAATTATTACATGCGGGCGAAGTCGCGTAATTAGGTAAGATGTTTTATTAAAACATTGGCTATACCTAATTGATATAAAGAAAAGGAACATATGGTATGCCCGAACAGTAATAAGGCATACACTCTGGCCAGTGTGAGCAACATGTTCGCATGATGCCAAAACACACTGATCAGGTGTGCCAACCTCAACAATAAATACTGTAAAATAAATACATTATCCAACTTCGACCGTGAGGTTAATCGATGGATATGACTTGGCTGGGCAGCATTCTGGAAATTACGACACATCTCTCATCACGTGCGGTATACCTCGAAACTTGAAGATGAGAGTGTATAACCAGTGAAGACTTATGGATCTGAGTCATGGTCCTTCACTGCTGGCCGTATGAGGAAGCTCAAGAGGCCAACAACAAGTCCACTGTTGAACAGATGTTCAACAGTGGACTTGTGATAGTGTGTCAGTTAGATATAATTTTCTTGGTCCATTTTGTGCCGTAAAGTACCATACCTTCGTCTTATTGTTTTATTGAATGGGCAACACAAATAATTAAACTCAATTAATTACTTGAGCACCACCACAGTACAGTTCTAAAATAAAAATGACTGAGTTATTGTAACAAATTATGTGTTTATTTCAATAATGTTTTTAGATAACTAATTTTTTCAACTAAGAAAATATTTCTTTGTTTTTTCTTCCTGTCTCTGAAGTTATTTGGGTTCGGCATAACATGTCTTCTTCTTCCATTCTTTTCCATTAGCCGTCTTCTCTTCACTCACTCCTTATGCATACTGTCCCTAATACATCCAGGATCTTTTATATTTTTGCAGGCCTCCTTCTCTTATATAGTGAAAACAAAGATACAAATAAAACTAATTGTTTGTATGTTTGTTTAATTACTAATTTTTATAGCGTTTTATTTATTTAACCTTTTAATTCCCGACGTTTCGGGTGCTTTACAGCACCCGTGGTCACGGGGGGACTGAGGTGTTTGACGTCCCAATGTCACAGTTAGCTTGGCCACCTTCAATTTTTGAATATTAATTTTTGGTCCGATCTACGCAGAATGAGCTTACAGACCCATAGACATCTACATCTATCCTCAATAAAGAATCAAAATGCAGATGCGTTGTCACCCGTGAGGACTAAGATGGAATGCCTCGTTTCCAGTAATAAGGGTCTCCGGTTCTCTACACTCACCATACGAAACACAGCAGTGTTAAGCTGCTATTTGACGCTGGTATTCTGTGAGAGCGTGGTCCTTCCTGGGTCGAGCCGACCCATTCGTGCTACAACTATACTACTAATATAGCTGCAGCATGGCTCTATCACATATAAAGATCGTCTTCGGGTAAATATAAGAAATCATTATGTGGAAATGTAATTGTTACAGTAATAAAATGTATCAAGCTAATTTTATGGATCTGAAAATCTAACTTTGAATAGACTTAATGATTAGTAGCGACAAATGTGTACATATATAACGTAATAATAATAATGTCCTCCAAACCGGATTTTGGTCACGGTGGCCAGCCTCAACGGAGACTAGTCTTCGGCGCAGTACAGTATTATAGTGCCCAATTATATGTGCAAGCACAGATGCACTCTTTATTCCCTCACTCTCATAGTCCGATGGGACAGTAAGCCGACACGACTGAAAAGAGTTCAGGGGCAGGACCGGCTCAACGGCTTAACGTGCTTTCCTAAGCACGGGGTGAGACACCGCCTACTTCGTAACTCCCGGCAGATATTGAGAATTTCTTGCATTACTTACATCCAAATGTGGATGTAAACGCGCAACATGCACCAGAGAAGCAGTTTATAAATTTCTGGATATTTAGATTACTAGATATATAGTCTATGTACACGCCCTGAGCTGCCCCAACCAAGGTAGACTGGACTAGGGCCCATCAGTAGCCCAATCGACGGGCAGCAGAGGACGGGGCTCAAAATGCCTATGGACAGTTGACCCACACGATAGTGATAAAGCTAGGTAAATAAATAGTACGTACCTGGATCCGAAGCTAAGACCGCACCAAGGCTCGATCAGGCCGTAGGTAGGTGTAGGTGCATGTAAAGTGGTGTTTAGTAGTGTTTATTTATGTGACCTGGCCCAGCTGAGGTGACCGGGCAGCGGCCTGGTCCTATGATGCCCCACAATGCTGCATCACTCCAGCAGGCGTCACCAAGTGACAACTTCTTTCTTCATGTCACTATTTCAGTCTATTAACTTTATTGTACATTTAACTAACTTCAACTCAACTAATTCAACGTTCATCGTAAAATCAAACACGTGATACCCGACACAAGTAAGTGTTCAAAGTTCAACATTCAATGTTCCGGATTCATTTATCACCAAATTACAAATATGGAACTAACGCGATCTCTTCACGAGTCACAAAGTTCAGCGTTACAAACAACAACTAAATTCCTTCGTACGATATTAAATACTACGGCGCAATAAGAATTCAAAATCAACCTAGCGGACACGCACCTAACTACAGAGTCAACACTCAAAAGGCTCTTAACGCGACGGTACAATTAAACAATTACTTCCAAAAACAATCAACCGGGCCACGCCATCGAAATGGAATGCGAGCTTCAAATTCCAGACCGTATCTCTACTCGGCGCGCGCGCAAGATTCCACGTCACACAAGCAAGTTAAATATTGCAAAATGCACTTCAACACGCAATCACTATATAATTGGCGCAATTACTCTCAAACGAAATTACTTTAATCAGTCAAATTCAAGACAAGCCTCT